AGAGGCTATGAGTAAAGACTGGCAAGCAGACAGGAGACCTGGGTCCCAGTCCACCCTACCATTCCCCAGCTGAGTGAGCTTGGGCAGGTGCCCTGGGCTCTCTGAACCTGGTTCCTCGTGGGAAACACAGGATATTGATTCTATTGGGATGGTTGTAGGGACTGACTAAGGAAGCATTTCACCAGGCTAGAGGAGGTGTGTTGAACCTGGGAATTTAGATGAACCTGAAGTTGCGAGTTCATGTTACTCTTAGTTCAGAGCTTTGCTGCTGCGAGACAAGGTAGCATTGGTGGCTTTAGGTCTTTGAACATTCTGGGCAGAGCTGCCTTCACTGGTGCATGATGGGCTCCCATGCTCAGAAGGCTCTGCACTTGGGGCTTCTTGTTCTGTGGTCAACATCTTGTAATTCCTAAAGATTTTCCTTTTGAGCTGCCTTCACTGGTGCATGATGGGCTCCCATGCTCAGAAGGTTCTGCACTTGGGGCTTCTTGTTCTGTGGTCAACATCTTGTAATTCCTAAAGATTTTCCTTTTGAATTGTGGTTTGTAAGTGCAGTCTGATGGGACCATGGGACACACTCGGGACTTGGGGCCTGAGCTCATTTATTCCCACCCCCTGCTACTTCCTCATCACCCTGGGTGGGTTCTTGGCTGCTGGTTCCCCACACCTTGGCACCCTGGGCCCCAAGACCTCTGCTTCCCTCTGCCTGGGGCAGCAACTGGGTTGAGTCAGCTGGGGAGGCTCATGTTCCACCATCAGCCTCCACCCTCAGTAGGGGCCTTGCTGTAGGTGCAGGTTGGGATTCAGTGGGTATGACATGGTGTCTCGGGGAAGGGCAAGGTGACAGCACCCCTGCCCCAGGCTGGCAGCACCAAGGTGCAGTAGGTGGGTGACTCAGCTGGGATGTCTTGTGCACCCCAATCCAGGTACTGAGTGCATCCTGGCAGGGGGGTTAGGGAGGTGGAAGGCTGGGGTTGGGTGCTGTCTGTCCACACGGGTTGGGGTGGTGGGCTGTGGGAGGGGAGACTGACTTCCCACACCCCGACCTGGGCCTTGCATTCTCACCCTGCATGGGGACCTGCAAATCATGTAGCCAACTGGTACCACGAGTCTGTTTTCATTTCCTCTCCTCAGTTCAGAGTCCATAGTCCTTGTGTGATGTGGCCAGATGGTTCTGAGCATGCTGGTAAGGTGAGGAGGTGAGAAGTGACCAGATCATTCTGCAGTGCAGTGGGCAGTTAGTGAGGTCACCTAAGGGACTGAGAGCCAGCGCTTCCTAAGCTTATGTAAATGGAATCACTTGGGATGTTGTTAAAGTGCACATTCAGGAGGTCTGGGGTGGGGTTGGGATTCTGCATTTCTAACAAGCTCCCGGTAAAACTGATGCTGCTGCTTCATGGACCACACTTTGAGTAGCCAGGCTCTGGAAGGCTTAACCTCACCAAGCGTGGCCTCCAGACTGCTGCCGCCTGGTGAGCCCCTGTAGGAATGCTCATCACGACAGGCACAGGGGAGGGCTGCCTTGGAGCTGACCTGGAGCCTACATTCCAGTGACCTACCAGCAACCCTGATCCTCCAGGGTCTCAGACTCCCCACTCCAGGTTGCAGTTGCTAAATGGCAGAGGTGGGATTTGACCCCAGTCTGACCATGGGACCTTCCCACTCTGCCAGTGTCACCACATTTTAAGTTTGGAGGCTGTGGTTAGGAGCTGGTCCTCCTGTCTGCCATGTGCCCCCAATCCTGGGGTTTAAGGTGTTGGGTCTGGGGCCTGGGCCCCTGGCCAGCTTCCTCCGCGCCCCCAGCCACAATCACCTCTGCCTTCAGCCGCTCGATCTCGATCTCCCCGTCCTCGATCTGCTGCCGTAGCTGCTTGGCCACAGTCTTCTCCGTTTCCACGATCTGCAGCAGATGCAGGTACTTCTGCATCAGCGCTTCGTGCTCTGTGGCCAGGGTCCTGTAGCTGTGGACAGACGGACAAATGGACAAATGGACAGGGCAGGTAAGACACTGCCTCCTTGTCTCCTGGTGATCTAACCAGGGCACGGACCAGAAGTGGAGCTCACCCACCTAGCTGCACTTAGCAGACGGTCCCAACTCCCAGATGCGGTGGCTGGGACCCTCCATCTGGCTGCTGAGGCTGCTGCTGATCCTCCAGCCCAAACCCGTCTCACAGTGACCTCTGCTTCCTCCTGCTAATCCGGTGCCTGCTCACACACACACACTCTCTGTCTCTCCGCCTCACTCCCTTTCGCTCTCTCTCTCTCTCTCTCTCTCTCTCTCTCTCTCTCTCGTTCCTTTTCATGTGCTCTCTCTCTCTCACACACATACACCTCCCTCCGGGGCTTTGCATAGCTAGATCTCCCGTCTGAAACATACCTCCTGCCCCCTTCCTGCTTGGGTTAGCTCCATCCTCTTTCCTAGGCTAGCACTGGGTCCCAGATGAAATGCCACCTCCAAGAAGCCTTCCCTGGTCACCCCCAGACTGTATGGGGTGTTCCTGCATCCCCTTCCTGCTTGGGTTAGCTCCATCCTCTTTCCTAGGCTAGCACTGGGTCCCAGTTGAAATGCCACCTCCAAGAAGCCTTCCCTGGTCACCCCCAGACTGTATGGGGTGTTCCTGC